GTTGGGAGGGGAGGAGGGTGGGGAGGTCACCCTTGCGGTGCGGGGTTCGGGGGAGGGAAGGGGAGGGAGGGAAGGGGGGGAGGGAGCGGGGGGACCCTCCGGAGGGGGCACCGGGTGGGGGGGAGGGGGGGGGGAGGGTGGGGAGGGGTGCGGGGGAAGGGGAACCCACACCCCACTTGGTTGCGGGTTGTTTTTTGGTGTCTGCCCACTACCCCCCGTGAGACTCGTGCCACCCCCCCGGAGGAGGCACCGGGTGGGGAGGGGGAGGGAAGGGGGGAGGGTGGGGGAGGGGGCCGGGGAGGGGTGGGAACCAACACCATTTCAGTTTTTTTGGTGTCTGCCCACTACCCTCCCGCCCCAGGAGGAGGGGGGAGGGCGCTCAGGGGGAGGGGGGGCGGGGGGAAGACCCCACACCCCATTTTAGTTGAGGATTGTTCTCTCGGCCTTGTCGCTGAGACCACACACCTCGGCAACCACATTGGTTGAGGCTCAAGCCTCCATACCTTGGATTGTCCTTGCCTCTGTCTTCTTCGGCTTGAGCTTCCACACCTCGGAACCCCATACCGGTTGAGGATAAGCCTTCCCGCCTTGTCTCTGTCTCTGTCTTCTTCGGCTGGAGCTTCCATACCCCGGAAACCCACATCGGTTGAGTATAAACCCTCCCGGCCTTATCCTTGCCTCTGTCTTCTTCGACTTGTGAGCTTCCACGCCTCGGAAACCCGTACTAGTTGAGGATAAACCCTCCCGGCCTTGTCGTTGCGCTTCTGCAGCTTGAGACCCCACGTCTTGGAAACCCATATTTGTTGATGATACACCCTCCCGGCCTTGTCCTTGCCCTTCTTCAGCTTGAGCTTCCACGCCTCGGAAACCCATACTGGTTGAGGATGAGCCCCCCCCCGGCCTTGTCCCTACCTGTGTCTTCTTCAGCTTGAACTTCCACACCTCGGAACCCCATGTTGGTTGAGGATGGGCCCTCCCGGCCTTGTCCTTGCCTCGGACACTTATATTGGTTGAGGATAAGCCCTCCCGGCCTCGTTCTTACCTCTGTCTTCTTCAGCTTGAGCTTCCTGGGGCCACGCACTTCGAACCCCGGCCTTGTCCTTGCCTCCGTCGTCTTTTTGCTGGGGTCACGCACCTCGGACCTCATATTGGTTGAGTCCTCGTCCTTTCTCTTTTCTCCAAGATGAAACCATGCACCTGGGACCCTATCTTGGTTGAGGATAGGCACTCCGGCCTCTCCTCGCCTCCGTCCTGTTCGAGTTGAGACCACGCACCTCGGACCCGATATTGGTTGAGGAGAAGTGCCCCGGCCTGGTTCCCGCCTCCATCCTCTTCAAGTTGAGACCGCGCACCTGGGACCCCATATTGATTGAGGATAGGCACTCCGGCCTGGTCTCGGCTTCTGTTCTCTCCCGACCACGAACCTGGGAACCCATGACAGTTGAGGATAGGCGATCCGGCCTTGTCGCCGCCTCTGTCTTCTTCAGGTTGAGACCACGCGCCGAGAACGTATTCTGAGAGTAAGTCCTTCGAGCTGGTTGTCGCCTCCTCTTGAAGCTCGCCTTCTTCTGGCTTCAAGCACCTGGCACTGATGCACGCTGCGGTAGGGCACGCACCTAGGAGCCCATATCGGTTGAGGATACGTGCTCCGCCCTCGTCCCCACCTTCACCTTCTTCGGGCCGAGATCGCGTACCTGGGACTCCACGTTGGTCGAGGATAAGCGCTCCGGCCTCGTCCCCGCCTCCGCTTTCGCACCTGGGACCCCTTATTGGGTGAGGATAAGCGCTCCGGCCTCGTCCCTGCCGAGCACGCACCTGGGACCCCAGCTCCGGCCTCGTCCCCGCCTCCGCCTTCCTCGGGCTGAGACCACGCGCCTGGAACCCCATATTGCGCCGGCCTGGTCCGCGAGAGCACGCACCTGGGACCCCATATTGGTTGAGGATAAGCGCTCCCGCCTCCGAGCACGCGCCTGGAACATATTGGTTGAGGAAAAGCGCTCCGGCCTCGTCGCCTTCTTCGGGCTGAGACCACGCACCTGGGACCCCATATTGGGTGAGGATAAGTGCTCCGGCCTCGTCCCCGCCTCCGCCTTTTTCGACTGAGACCACGCACCTGGGACCCCACATTGGTTGAGGATAATCAGCGCTCACCTCCTCACTTCGGTCTTCTTGGGGTTGGGACCACGTACCTGGGACACCATGCAGGCGAGCCTGCACAGCTTCGTTCCCGCTCCCGGCCTTTTTCTTCTTGAGGATACGCACCTGGCACTCCACGCTGGTTGCGGTCTAAGTGAGCGGGTTTGGGAGGGGGGTGGGAGGGGCAGAGCGAGGGGGAGGGAAGGGAGCGGGGGAGGGAAGGGGGGGAGGGAGGGGGGGGACCCTCCGGAGGGGGCACCGGGTGGGGGGGGGGCAGGGAGGGGGGGGAGGGGTGCGGGGGAAGGGGAACCCACACCCCATTTTAGTTGAGGATTGTTTTTTGGTGTCTGCCCACTACCCCCCGTGAGACTCGTGCCACCCTCCGGAGGAGGCACCGGGTGGGGAGGGGGAGGGAGGGGGGGAGGGTGGGGGAGGGGGGCGGGAGGGGCGGGAACCAACGCGCCACAGTCGGGGGAGGGGGGGCGGGGGGAAGACCCCGCACCCCATTGATTTCTGCCACTACCTTCCCTGAGAATTCGTGCCACCCTGCCAACTGTGGAAGGGGCGGAAAAGGCCGTCAATAGGGCATGGGAGGGGGAGGGAGGGGGAGGGGGAAGGTCGGCTAGCTCCTGAACTGCATACCTTCAGGTTCCTGTTTTGTTTGAGGAAAAGCTCTCCGGATAAGCCCTCTCAGCCTTGTCGCTGAGACCACATTTCAATTTCTCAAAGTAGGAGCTGCGCTGTCACGGTATACAATTTCTATTTATCCTGTCTTGAGGGTTTAGGGTTTATAGAAATTGTTAAGGGTTTGGGTCCCAATAACTTTTTGGGGCACCGGCCAACCTTCCACCTCTTGCACAAGAACGGAAGGTTGGCCGGTGCCCCAGGAGTTTTCTCGACTGCTTCCATGTTTTTGGGTCCGTGGCAAGTCGTCTAGGGTTGGCCGACCGCCCAAGACAAGATCGACCATCCTGCCAAAAGGTGGGGCCGCTGGTGCGCTTGAACTCGTTTCGCAAGTTCCACCCTCGTTTACGAACCAAAGGTTGGCCGATGGCTGGGAGGGGGCTGGGCTGGGCTGGCTGGCTGGGCTGCGCTGGGCTGGGCTGGGCTGGGCTGTGGGCTGGGCTGGGCTGGGGCTGGGGGCTGCTGGGCTGGGCTCTGGGCTGGGCTCTGGGCTGGGCTGGGCTGGGCGGCTGGGCTGGGCTTTGGGCTGTTTGGGCTGGGCTCTCGGGCTGGCCTCCTTAACTTCACTGGGTCGGTACGGTCGCCTGGGTTGGTTTATCGAAATTGCTTGCTCTGTTGATTGACCTCCAGCGTAAGGTTGGCCAACGTCTAGAAAGTGCTCGGTCGAAGTGGTCGACGCAGAAACCCCTGACAAGTTTAAGCGTTCAGTCTGAGTCGCCTGCCAATGCATGTGCTCGCTCTCCTGATGGGAATCGTTTCCTGCGCGAGGGCACCAGTTGTCAATCGAATTCCGAGCCTTCGTTACAGTCGCATCAACAAAGCAAGACCTTTTGCGTGAGTCGTGCCGAGTCAAGTGCATTGAACTAGAAGTGGAATGAACCGGCTGTTGTCTGCAAGATGAGCCAGGTCCGTGTTGGTGAAACGTTTAGAATCAAAGCCGGATTACTGCGTATGTGTCGCAAGGTTGCACGCCTAGCTGACAATTGACGGTGGGCTCAGGCTCGTCTTGGAAGCAATCCAACAAATAGATTCGGCTATGACAAGATATGAGAGCGACCCAGCGCTCATGGCAAGAGTTCCGGTCACCGCGAATCTGTAGAATACTCTGTGCTCCAGCTGGCCAGACCTCCAGGTTTTGACAATGCTGCAACTTGAAGCCGCTCTTTTCCAGGGCGCAGTCCACGACCAAAGGAGACAGTATCCTGCCGCCCTGTCTCAAAAATGTGCACCAATCATGCTCATAACCACGTGCCTCAACAGGTCTTGGGCTCCCTGCAGAGTGATGTCACATGCTTGTCTGCCCAGTGCATTGTTGACGGAGCACGTCGCAGTCGCCAATTGTTTCTGTGCGAGACCCAAGCTCTCATTCAAGCTTTGGAAGAATAGGAGGCTGCCGGTTTCAGTCAAGAATTTCCACTGCGGGTGGTTCTGCCGTGAAATCTGAACTCGAAAGCCAGCTTGTAGAATGTTCTCCTCAATTGCCCACTTCGCGGCTTTGTAGCTCAGAAAAGGCTTCTCCGTCCTCACCATCAGCGCAGAATACCTTCGCTTCAGTCTCCTCCGAGCTAGCCACCATCTTCGGCGGTAGACCCTCAGCATTGCCTTCTTCCCTTGCCAAAATGAACCTCGTGCATCCTTCTTTGTCGCAGCAGCAATGCGCTGTGCAGCTTTGCGGCATCCCACATAAGCAGAGAGAAGACGCCAGCTTCCGATACCACTGCGTGGGCTTGATGCAGCTTTTACATATTGGCGGCTGCTACTGCTCATGGATGGGTTCGCCCGCAGGATTGGCCGACCCAGCAAGAAATGCTTCAGGCGGGGTGACTTCTTGTGCAGCCAGCTCCATGATGGCTTGAACTTCGGAGGCTGTCCAGCCTTTGCGCGCAAGCCATACTGTTCGCTGGTAGATAGCACACACAGCGACCCCATTCCAAACGCCGCTTCGTATGTCGGCGATCCGTTTCGGCGCCACTGCTTGAGCTGTCTGACCAAATTGCCTTTTGCTATGCGGGAATCCAGAGCGAGTTGTAGGTTTTCTAGACTGCACAATGCGCAGCTCTTTCTGCTGGACTGAGCAGGTCCACCTCTACCATCTTGCGAGAAGATGCATGGTCTACTTCCGATTCCAGATGGATCCTCGAAGCCACGGCAGTAGCGAGGCATGGCAAGCCAAGGGTTCTGGACGGGTCTACTGTTGCATATTGCTCAGTAAAATTGCTTTCGCAAAGTAAGCCAGACGGCAAAGGACACTGCGCCGAAGTATGGGCCAGGTCTGGCTTCCTCTAATTACAGCATGCGTCGAACCGCTTCTGCACGCAAGCTCTCCGGCCTCGTCCCCGTCTCCGTCTCTCTTCGGGTTGAGGATGCGCACCTGGGACCCCAGATTGGTTGAGGATAAGCGAGTCACTTGGGCATTTCGGTCGTCCTCGCCTTCACCCCCTTCTACTGCCGCGCTTTCTGGCTTCGAGCACCTGGCAACAAAGATGCACGCTGTCTTCTTCAGCTTGAGCTTCCACACCTCGGAAACCCAAATTGGTTGAGGATAAGCCCTCCCGGCCTCGTCCTTGCCTCCGTCTTCTTCAGCTTGAGCTTCCACACCTCGGAATCCCATATTGGTTGAGGATAAGCCCTCCCGGCCTCGTCCTTGCCTCTGTCTTCTTCGGCTTGAGCTTCCACACCTCGGAAACCCATATTGGTTGAGGATAAGCCCCTCGAAACCTATATTGGCTGAGGATAAGCTTTCCCGGCCTCGTCCTTGCCTCCGTCTTCTTCAGCTTGAGCTTCCACACCTCGGAAACCCATATTGGTTGAGGATAAGCCCTCCCGGGCTCGCCCTTGCCTCCGTCTTCTTCAGCTCGAGCTTCCACACCTCGGAAACCCATATTGGTTGAGGATAAGCCCTCCCGGCCTCGTCCTTTCCCTTTTCTTTTGTATTTTTATGTGTGCTTCTCTTCCTCTTTATTTCTTTTTTTTTTGTTTTTTTTGCGTTCCTCTTTTTCTGATTTTGTTTGTGCCCTCATCTTCTTCAGCTCGAGCTTCCACACCTCGGAAACCCATATTGGTTGAGGATAAGCCCTCCCGGCCTCGTCGTGGCGGCTGCACCTCTTCGCCTGGCACCGGATAAGCGTGGCGGCTGTACCCCCTGGCCCCTATTCTGGTTGAGGATAAGCGTGGCGGCTGCACCTCTTCCCCTGGCCCCCATTCTGGTTGAGGGTAAGCGTGGCGGCTGCACCTCTTCGCCTGGCACCGGATAAGCGTGGCGGCTGTGCCCCCTGGCCCCTATTCTGGTTGAGGATAAGCGTGGCGGCTGCGCCTCTTCCCCCTGGCCCCCATTCTGGTTGAGGATAAGCGTGGAGATTCACCTCTTCGCCTGCACGGATAAGCGTGGCGGCTGTTACCTGGGCCCCTATTTCTGGTTGAGGACTGCTGGGCCGGCGGGCCTCTCCCCCTGGCCACCATTCTGGTGGAGGATAAGCGTGGCGGAGATGCACCTATTCGCCGGGCACGGAATAGCGTGGCGGCTGTACCCCTGGCCCTATCTGGTGAGGATAAGCGTGGAGGATGAGAATCGTTTACCCCTGGCCCCAATTCTGGGTGAGGATAAAGCGTGGAGGCCTGCCCCTCTTCGCCTGGCACCGGATAAGCGTGGAGACTGCACCCCCTTGGCCCTATTCTGGTTGAGGATAAGCGTGGCGGATGCGCCTCCCTGGCCACCATCTGGTTGAGGATACGGTGGGCGGATTGCACCTCTTCGCTCGCACCGGTAAGAGTGGGCGGCTCTGACCCCGGGCCCCTATCTGGCTGAGGATCAGATTTCGGTTGAGGATAAGCGTGGCGGCTGCACCTCTTCGCCTGGCACCGGATAAGCGTGGCGGCTGTACCTCATGGCCCCTATTCTGGTTGAGGATAAGCGTGGCGGCTGCGTGGTTGAGGATAAGCGTGGCGGCTGCACCTCTTCGCCTGGCACCGGATAAGCGTGGCGGCTGCACCCCCTGGCCCCTATTCTGGCTGAGGATCAGCATTCTGGTTGAGGATAAGCGTGGCGGCTGCACCTCTTCGCCTGGCACCGGATAAGCGTGGCGGCTGTACCCCCTGGAACCTATTATGGTTGAGGATAAGCGTGGCGGCTGCGCCTCGTCCCCCTGGCCCCCATTCTGGTTGAGGATAAGCCTGGCGGCTGCACCTTTCCGCCTGGCAACGGATAAGCGTGGCGGCTGTACCCCCTATTCTGGTTGCGGATAAGCGTGGCGGCTGCGCCTCTTCCCCCTGGCCCCCATTCTGGTTGAGGATAAGCGTGGCGGCTGCACCTCTTCGCCTGGCACCGGATAAGCGTGGCGGCTGTACCCCCTGGCCCCTTTTCTGGTTGAGGACAAGCGTGGCGGCTGCGCCTCTTCCCCCTTGGCCCCCATTCTGGTTGAGGATAAGCGTGGCGGCTGCACCGCACCGGATAAGCGTGGCGGCTGCACCCCCTGGCCCCTATATTCTGGTTGAGGATAAGCGTGGCGGCTGCGCCTCTTCCCCCTGGCCCCCATTCTGGTTGAGGATAAGCGTGGCGGCTGCACCTCTTCGCCTGGCACAGGATAAGCGTGGCGGCTGTACCCCCTGGCCCCTATTCTGGTTGAGGATAAGCGTGGCGGCTGCGCCTCGTCCCCCTGGCCCCCATTCTGGTTGAGGATAAGCGTGGCGGCTGCACCTCTTCGCCTGGCACCGGATAAGCGTGGCGGCTGTACCCCCTGGCCCCTATTCTGGTTGAGGATAAGCGTGGCGGCTGCGCCTCTTCCCCCTGGCCCCCATTCTGGTTGAGGATAAGCGTGGCGGCTGCACCTCTTCGTCTGGCACCGGATAAGCGTGGCGGCTGTACCCCCTGGCCCCTATTCTGGTTGAGGATAAGCGTGGCGGCTGCGCCTCGTTCCCCTGGCCCCCATTCTGGTTGAGGATAAGCGTGGCGGCTGCACTTCTTCTCCTGGCACCGAATAAGCGTGGCGGCTGTGCCCCCTGGCCCCTATTCTGGTTGAGGATAAGCGTGGCGGCTGCGCCTCTTCCCCCCTGGCCCCCATTCTGGTTGAGGATAAGCGTGGCGGCTGCACCTCTTCGCCTGGCACCGGATAAGCGTGGCGGCTGCACGCCCTGGCCCCTATTCTAGTTGAGGATAAGCGTGGCGGCTGCGCTGCGCCTCTTCCCCCTAGCCCCCCTTCTGGTTGAGGATAAGCGTGGCGGCTGCACCTCTTCGCCTGGCACCGGATAAGCGTGGCGGCTGTACCCCCTGGCCCCTATTCTGGTTGAGGATAAGCGTGGCGGCTGCGCCTCCCCCTGGCCCCCATTCTGGTTGATCGAGGATAAGCGTGGCGGCTGCACCTCTTCGCCTGGCACCGGATAAGCGTGGCGGCTGTACCCCCTGGCCCCTATTCTGGTTGAGGATAAGCGTGGCGGCTGCGCCTCTTCCCCCTGGCCCCCATTCTGGTTGAGGATAAGCGTGGCGGCCGCACCTCTTCGCCTGGCACCGGATAAGCGTGGCGGCTGTACCCCCTGGCCCCTATTCTGGTTGAGGATAAGCGTGGCGGCTGCGCCTCTTCCCCCTGGCCCCCATTCTGGTTGAGGATAAGCGCGGCGGCTGCACCTCTTCGCCTGGCACCGGGATAAGCGTGGCGACTGCACCCCCTGGCCCCTATTCTGGTTGAGGACAAGCGTGGCGGCTGCGCCTCTTCTTCCTGGCCCCCATTCTGGTTGAGGATAAGCGTGGCGGTTGCACCTCTTCGCCTGGCACCGGATAAGCGTGGCCAGCTTGAGGACAAGCGTGGGTTGCGCAGGCCTGCCCGCCTCATTCAGCTTGAGGATAGCTGCCTGGCGGCCTCATACAGGTTAAGGATAACCAAGCGGGTCGGGCAGGCTTGCCCGCTTCATCAGCTTGAGGATAAGCGCCTGACAGGTTGAACGCACATGTTGAGTGGAGGAGTGGGGGTGGGGGGGGTGGGGGGGTGCAGGGGTGGCGTGTAGGAGGGTGAGGGGTGGGGGAGGGGCCGGGAGGGGGGGCGGCCAGTCCAACCCCATTTAGGTTAAGGGTTGTGCCTCCGAGGGTGGGGGGTGGGGGGGGGCCGGGAGGGGGGGGTGGGGGCTGGGAGGGATGGGGGCGGGGTCCATGAACCTGGACTGGTGGGCTGGGTTGCGTGGCCTGAAGGTTGTAGAGAAATTGGTTTATCAAGAAGCTTGTTCCGTTTTTGAGCTCCAGCTCAAAGTTGGCGGGCCGTACCGGTGGTTACAAGTTTGTAAAGAAACTGGTTTATCAAGAAGCTTGTTCAATTGAACTTCCGCACCTCGGAACCCCATGTTGGTTGAGGATGGGCCCTCCCAGCCTTGTCCTTGCATAGGTACTCCGGCCTCTCCTCGCCTCCGTCCTGTTCGAGTTGAGACCACGCACCTCGGACCCGATATTGGTTGAGGACAAGTGCTCCGGCCTGGTTCCCGCCTCCATCCTCTTCAAGTTGAGACCGCGTACCTGGGACCCCATATTGCTTGAGGATAGGCACTCCGGCCTGGTCTCGGCTTCTGTTCTCTCCAGACCACGAACCTGGGAACCCATGACAGTTGAGGATAGGCGATCCGGCCTTGTCGCCGCCTCCGTCTTCTTCAGGTTGAGACCACGCGCCGAGAACGTATTCTGAGAGTAAGTCCTTCGAGCCTGTTGTCGCCTCTTCTTGAAGCTCGCCTTCTTCTGGCTTCAAGCACCTGGCACTGATGCACGCTGCGGTAGGGCGCGCACCTAGGACCCCATATCGGTTGAGGATAAGTGCTCCGCCCTCGTCCCCACCTTCACCTTCTTCGGGCCGAGATCGCGTACCTGGGACTCCACGTTGGTAGAGGATAAGCGCTCCGGCCTCGTCCCCGCCTCCGCTTTCGCACCTGGGACCCCATATTGGTTGAGGATAAGCGCTCCGGCCTCGTCCCTGCCGAGCACGCACCTGGGACCCCAGCCCCGGCCTCGTCCCCGCCTCCGCCTTCTTCGGGCTGAGACCACGCGCCTGGAACCCCATATTGCGCCGGCCTGGTCCGCGAGAGCACGCACCTGGGACCCCATATTGGTTGAGGATAAGCGCTCCCGCCTCCGAGCACGCGCCTGGAACATATTGGTTGAGGATAAGCGCTCCGGCCTCGTCGCCTTCTTCGGGCTGAGACTACGCACCTGGGACCCCATATTGGGTGAGGATGAGTGCTCCGGCCTCGTCCCTGCCTCCGCCTTCTTCGACTGAGACCACGCACCTGGGACCCCACATTGGTTGAGGATAATCAGCGCTCACCTCCTCACTTCGGTCTTCTTGGGGTTGGGACCACGTACCTGGGACACCATGCACGCACCTGGCACTCCACGCTGGTTGCGGTCTAAGTGAGCGGGTTGGGAGGGGAGGGGGGTGGGAAGGGGGTGGGAGGGGCAGAGCGGATGGAGGGGGAGGGGGAGGGAAGGGGGGAGGGAGGGGGGGGACCCTCCGGAGGGGGCACCGGGTGGGGGGGGGCCCTCCCTCCCCCACACCCCATTTTAGTTGAGGATTGTTTTTTGGTGTCTGCCCACTACCCCCCGTGAGACTCGTGCCACCCTCCGGAGGAGGCACCGGGTGGGGAGGGGGAGGGAGGGGGGGAGGGTGCGGGAGGGGGGCGGGGAGGGGCGGGAACCAACACCCCATTTTAGTTGAGGATTGTCTTTTGGTGCCTGCCCACTACCCTCCCGGCCCAGGAGGAGGGGGGAGGGCGCTCAGGGGGAGGGGGGGCGGGGGGAAGACCCCACACCCCATTTTAGTTGAGGATTGTTCTCTCGGCCTTGTCGCTGAGACCACACACCTCGGCAACCACATTGGTTGAGGCTCAAGCTGCCATACCTTGGATTGTCCTTGCCTCTGTCTTCTTCGGCTTGAGCTTCCACACCTCGGAACCCCATACCGGTTGAGGATAAGCCTTCCCGCCTTGTCTCTGCCTCTGTCTTCTTCGGCTGGAGCTTCCATACCCCGGAAACCCACATCGGTTGAGTATAAACCCTCCCGGCCTTATCCTTGCCTCTGTCTTCTTCGACTTGTGAGCTTCCACGCCTCGGAAACCCGTACTAGTTGAGGATAAACCCTCCCGGCCTTGTCGTTGCGCTTCTGCAGCTTGAGACCCCACGTCTTGGAAACCCATATTGGTTGATGATACACCCTCCCGGCCTTGTCCTTGCCCTTCTGCAGCTTGAGCTTCCACGCCTCGGAAACCCATACTGGTTGAGGATGAGCCCCCCCCCGGCCTTGTCCCTACCTGTGTCTTCTTCAGCTTGAACTTCCACACCTCGGAACCCCATGTTTGTTGAGGATGGGCCCTCCCGGCCTTGTCCTTGCCTCGGAAACTTATATTGGTTGAGGATAAGCCCTCCCGGCCTCGTTCTTACCTCTGTCTTCTTCAGCTTGAGCTTCCTGGGGCCACGCACTTCGAACCCCGGCCTTGTCCTTGCCTCCGTCGTCTTTTTGCTGGGGTCACGCACCTCGGACCTCATATTGGTTGAGGCCTCGTCCTTTCTCTTTTCTCCAAGATGAAACCATGCACCTGGGACCCTATCTTGGTTGAGGATAGGCACTCCGGCCTCTCCTCGCCTCCGTCCTGTTCGAGTTGAGACCACGCACCTCGGACCCGATATTGGTTGAGGAGAAGTGCTCCGGCCTGGTTCCCGCCTCCATCCTCTTCAAGTTGAGACCGCGCACCTGGGACCCCATATTGATTGAGGATAGGCACTCCGGCCTGGTCTCGGCTTCTGTTCTCTCCAGACCACGAACCTGGGAACCCATGACAGTTGAGGATAGGCGATCCGGCCTTGTCGCCGCCTCTGTCTTCTTCAGGTTGAGACCACGCGCCGAGAACGTATTCTGAGAGTAAGTCCTTCGAGCTTGTTGTCGCCTCCTCTTGAAGCTCGCCTTCTTCTGGCTTCAAGCACCTGGCACTGATGCACGCTGCGGTAGGGCACGCACCTAGGAGCCCATATCGGTTGAGGATAAGTGCTCCGCTCTCGTCCCCACCTTCACCTTCTTCGGGCCGAGATCGCGTACCTGGGACTCCACGTTGGTCGAGGATAAGCGCTCCGGCCTCGTCACCGCCTCCGCTTTCGCACCTGGGACCCCATATTGGTTGAGGATAAGCGCTCCGGCCTCGTCCCTGCCGAGCACGCACCTGGGACCCCAGCTCCGGCCTCGTCCCCGCCTCCGCCTTCTTCGGGCTGAGACCACGCGCCTGGAACCCCATATTGCGCCGGCCTGGTCCGCGAGAGCACGCACCTGGGACCCCATATTGGTTGAGGATAAGCGCTCCCGCCTCCGAGCACGCGCCTGGAACATATTGGTTGAGGAAAAGCGCTCCGGCCTCGTCGCCTTCTTCGGGATGAGACCACGCACCTGGGACCCCATATTGGGTGAGGATAAGTGCTCCGGCCTCGTCCCTGCCTCCGCCTTCTTCGACTGAGACCACGCACCTGGGACCCACATTGGTTGAGGATAATCAGCGCTCACCTCCTCACTTCGGTCTTCTTGGGGTTGGGACCACGTACCTGGGACACCATGCAGGCGAGCCTGCACGGCTTCGTTCCCGCTCCCGGCCTTTTTCTTCTTGAGGATACGCACCTGGCACTTCACGCTGGTTGCGGTCTAAGTGAGCGGGTTTGGGAGGGGGGTGGGAGGGGCAGAGCGAGGGGGAGGGAAGGGAGCGGGGGAGGGAAGGGGGGGAGGGAGGGGGGGGAGGGAGGGG